CCCCCCCCCCCCCCCCCGAAAAAAAATTCTGAAATAACCACTGAATGGAACGACCCTCATTTTGACTACACAGCCGCTCGAGTTTTATATACGTTTGAAGAATTAAAACTACAAAAACAGTTATAGGTCTGCAAAAATTCATTTTTTGAAAAATGTGAAGAAATTTAAATAATTTGTTAGCAATATTGTTATTGAAGCGGCAACAATGTTCAAACTATTTTGTAACTGTAAATTGTTGTATTACTAAAACTAATATTCATAGTGAGCTCCCAAATTAAACACCAAGACCGCGACTGGAATGACCCACACACAGAAATCTACTAAGTACAAGTTCAAGGCCGGGGTGTGGCTTCGACCACTCACGAGGTGCCAAAATTTAGCAGTAGTAATACGATCCGAAATAGTGTGTCTTCGACCACTCACGAGGTGCCAAAATTTAGTAGTAGCAATACGATCCGAAATAGTGTGTCTTCGACCACTCACGAGGTGCCAAAATTTAGCAGTAGCAATACGATCCGAAATAGTGTAAAGCGTCCATGAGTATTTCCAATTTGCGTCATTCGTTTTTTCTCTCCCTTTCACGATTTTCTAAAGTTCAGTGATACAATTTAACGCAAGTCGCTTACCACGTGTGTGTGAAACTGATACAACTAGCGTACTGTTTAAGTGTGTGTGTTAATTTGATCGAAATGAAATAAAAACAGCATTGTCCCGCATAGTTTCCATCCATTTCGGATTTCCCCCATTTTGTATACCGGTATATAATTTATTTTTTGGAAAGTGTGTGTGTGTGTGTAACCAGAGGCGTCTTAAACTGAGCAAACCTTAATTCCAGCCAAAGGCCGGTCAAGCAAAAATTCACCCCGGTTGGAAGAGACTCGTTAACATTGGTCGGCAACTCATCTAAGAGAAGGAAACTCTGAATTCAAACCCGGAGTTGGAGTCGCATACAATGACAATTCCTGCAACCGTGCCCATCACTGGTCGTCTTGACGTAGAGTCTTGCCACTGGATATGGTGGGCCCGGGCGAGAGAGTGAGGTTGACACCGCGCAACTCTTCCTCGCTTTAAACAAAGTCACTAGCGCAAGTCATAAGTCACCGGACGACTCGATGGTTATCGTTGATCCTCGACGGACGAACAACAACCAGAGGCGTAGCGAGAGTGTTGGGCGCCCGGGGGACAAGATCCAATTTAAAGCGCCCCTTAAACCCATTATTTTCATCAATAAAATATCAAAGCACATTTTGGCGCCCGAGGACATCTGTCCCCCCT